TAACTTTTTTTGGTTTTACATATGCATTTTGAAATTACAAAAAATTATTAAATTATTCTACCGATAAAGCAGAATTCCACTGTAACTTATCAGGATTACTAAATAAACTGTAGTTGGGTCTAAAAAATAGTTTTCCGAGCAACATTTTCACTTACCCCTTCCTTCCGAGACAAAAGAAATAATCTTGGGAGCTTCCCACCTTCAAGAGGCTGAGAAAACCACATGGGGGAAATTCTGAGCTTTTGATTGGTTATAAGCACATGATAGAGCGAAGTGTGTGTGTGTATGTAAGGAAGTATTTCCAAAAATGGAAGAGGTGGTTGGGGCCACCATGTTTGATTCACTAAATATAGTGATATCTCAGCAAATAGGAAAGATAGGAGGTTCTTATTTTATATTCTAGCTTGTTGAGTAATTTGAGTTTCTAATATTTAAGAAACTATAGATTTTGTATTTGGACATCACAAACATCTAATTTGAACCAAAGCTGCATTCAACATACCACATGACACAAAACTCGATATCTGAGGATTTTTTTTTTGTAATATTTACATTTAAATTAATTAAGAAATTAAATAATGTATAATACTAAAATTTTGAATGTAAGTCTACAAATGTGATGACATGCCCTTTGATCCGTGACCATAGGACCATCAAAGGCTTTTTAAATGTAAAAGTAGAACTATAACAATTTTTATTTTGTACAGCATTTCTTGTTTTGTTTAACACCTCTGTGAGTCATGAAGATATGTTTGATGAGATGGTTCTAAAAACACTCTCCAGTGCTCTCTTTTTTGAACTCTGAATACAGATTTGAACTCTGCAATATCTAGAATCTGAATTGCCCAACAGCATGGTCGACCTTGCAGTAGTTTCCATGCTACAAGGGAGTAAAACCTATACCCCCATCCAAATACACACATAAAACACACAAGTTGTGCAGTACAAGATCTGGTTCCTCACCTCCACAAATCTGTTTTCTCCCTCGTTTTCATGGCTTCTGTCAATAGAGATTATTTAAAAAAGGATCAAAGAAACTTGCATGCTGCTTTAAGGTAGTCATATGTAGAACCTGCCTGAACATGAATAAACAGTTATTTTGTGCAAGAGGGACACCATCTGACCAACCTCTAAACACTGTACTTTTCGCAGTAAAATGTGTTGTTGTTTTTTCGGTTAACAGATTTATCACGTTACTTTTGTTTTGTTCTAGCTTGAATACCAAAAACTGCGACACCCTCTATAGCCCACCCTATCTCATTGACTTGCAGATTATTGTACACATTACAAATATCAAATTGATCGTTTATGATTATGTATTACTAATAACAAGCCAAGATACTATCAGTTAAAAATTTTATTAACAGTGATATTGGTGTATGATTTTTAATATTGCCATTTTTATTGACAACTTCCAGTTTCAAACTTATACTTAAAATATCAGGTGATGGAACAGATAAGTGTTATAAGGTATTTTCACAGACTAGGTAAAAAAAAAAATCATCATTTTACATTTTTGTGATTTCTTGAGGATCTGTTGAAAATAAGTTATCACAGTAAAGTTTTACATCTGCAGATATCTCGGAGATATCTAACATCAGAAAAATAAAACCAGAAAAAAACTGGTTCTGATGTTATTGTATTGATAACATCGACCGTATTATGTTCTCTGTCATAGTTTCAGGAGTTTTCATCTGAGTGGTCACAACTCAAGGATTAAAAAAAAAATTGGAAATTTTATACCACTTACGTTAAGTTTACTGTCTCCTCATTTTGTGCAGTATCTCCTGAAGGTTTGTTTTCCCATAGTGGTATTTGAAATTAGTTATATTGATGTATGATAGTTTAAAGTTTTGATAACGTAGAAAGTTGTTCTCTGTTAATCTTGCTTCAGATGAGACACAAAAAAGAATTACCGTCCTACCACATGAGATCACCAATGAGCAGCGATTATTTTTTCGGACTCTCTTTCTTCCTGGCAAAGTTGAAGAGATTGACCAGAAGACAGCAAATGAAATCTTAGTTAGGTCCACACCTGTGAACATGGCCTTTACTAATGTAAGTATCATCTTTACGAATGTAATTATTGTATCATCTTCAGTCTTTAGCTCTACTAACCTGATACTAGTCAGAACAATATTCACTTAGTGAAAACCTCTTGGTAACATTGCATTTTTATAATGACTCGTATTAAACGCATATTCATAAAATTCAGTGACATTAGAATACAAGATGTATAGTCTTCTCACTGTGAAAATTTATTTATTTTAGGAATATGTGAAAAGCCACTACCCAGAAACTTTTTTTTAAAGCTTCAATGCTTTCCTTCATTTTTTGAGATAGCAAAACCTTATTCGTTTTTTTTTTATTTATTTATTTAACAGAATCGCTTGGGAAAGTTAAATGCACTCCCTGTAGCAACTCGCTCATCGAATCTCTTGGTGCAGGTAATTTATTTGTATTATCAAAAATAAATAAAGAATACAGTTATTTTGATTCTGAAGAGAGAGAGTCAAAGAAACGGTTTAGTACAGAAAGAACCTGAGTAGGTTCTATCCAAAATTATTTATTTTGTAAATAGTTAAAGGCTACTGTTTAAAACAACAAAATTCAGAATTTATAGTCTAATATTGGTTAGTTTTTTTAATTTTAAAATTTCATGGTTATTTTCCATAAAACAATTTTATATCCAGACAAATACACAAAAAACTTTCTTTTGTTTTTATGTTCTAAGTTCATACAGCAAAGATTTTTGTTAAAAATAAAATTAACTGTTATGTGTGTTTTGGTTAAAATAGCATATGTAATTCTTGTGTCTTTACATAAGTCATTAAAACCAAATTTTTCTTTGTCTGTGTTTTTCCATAATACTTCTTTTTCAATATTCAAATATTTCCATCTCTATAAACATTATTATAGCACTTTTAGTGTAAAAAAAACCCACTAAAATAATATTTTTTTTTTTATTTGTG